TACTTTTAAGCATGGAATTAATCTTGTTATTTTGCAGCCAATTCAAAGTGCTGACCCATTCAAAGCTCTTCCAGCTCATTACAATATGGGCAAGGCTACCTCCTGCTAACAGGTTTGTGTGCTTCTCTGGCAGGCGCTGGAGAAGATTGGGGCCTACATGAAATCAAAGAATTTCATCAAGACCCCTGTAAATAACAAGATGGCAAAGTGGGGAAACAAGAAGGAATGAAGTAAAGGATTTGTGGAAATCCAATACAGGAAAATACAGCACTTCAAAATATTTTTGGAAACATGTGTCTTAGAACAAGGAGAATTGTCAAATTTGTTAAATTTTCTCTAACTGACCTAACAAAAACTAGGACTGAGTTGTGATAACCACCTGTGTTTTCTAAAATAAAGGCAACTGTTAAAAGTTAAGGGTGTGATTGCTTTATTGCTCTATAAATACAAGCGATTAATAAGTTAGAACTTTGTAAAATTTTTACATTTCTAGGCAGGGTAGTTAACAGCTGTGAATTACAGGAAGGATGCATGCAGATTATTTTTACAATTTAAATATAATAATTTATCTTTGCTGTTGGTATAGCAATGTAGCGCTCTTGTCAATTAGTAATTAAACCTGTGTAAGTTTTTAAAAGTGTGATCACAGTGAAGGGCTTTTTTATTGGAATTGATTAATGGTTCATCTTCACAACACTTTTAATAAATGACAAACTCGTTTTGTAAGAATGCCATTTTTTCCAGAAAGGGCAATTTATGTACATTGTTTATGCATTTGGTTTATATAAACATGTTGTTACAGTTTTAAAATTTGTTACAGTAATTGTTACTGAATTTTTCATGCCATTGATATATTAGTATCACTAAGTCCTTAACAAGAGAAATGTGTTTTCAGAGCAGATTCTACATACCACTCTAATCAGAAGTGCACTGGTATATCATGCAAAAATACACCACTTCAACTTTATATTTGTCTTCTCATTTAACACAAACTCCTTCTTTATTGTTGTATATGTGTTCTCAGAGATTTCTAACTGAGATCCACATGTACATCAATGAGTCCAACATGTAGAAGAGAAGCTAGTGGGCCCACTGGGTTATAATGCAGTGCAGAACTACCAGCACTACCAATGAACCAGTTTTACAAAAATGACTTTTAGTTTTTGAAGGGGACGGGGGACTTTGATGGTAACAAACAGGATTGTGAGTGCACAGACAACCTGTCTCTTAAGAGTTTCACAGCTCAGCTGTAGTCTCTCCATGCTCAGCGATAGTATGGGTCTTGTCCACTTTCACTGGCAAGCTATGAAAACAAAATACAATTAAGCCATTACAGAGTTGACATGAAATCCATATTAAAGGCTCCTTTCATTCAGTGCCGAGAAGTGTCGGGTTTACGGTGACCATAACTGATTATAGTTATGGAACTTCATTGTTTAAGATTTTTGTATGTTTTTTCATAAAGTTCATTTTTTCTTTTCTGAATGCTGAAGGATTCATGTATTTGTGGCCTTTTAATTTAAATTCCTGACAGATTAAACAGTCAGGGTTGCAGTGTGCCACTGTGCTGGAGACCTCCAATTCATTAAATCAAACCCTGAATGGTGTGGACTTTGTACAGTGATGAGTGTAGCTCTCACTGGCCCACAGTGGTGTGTGTATTGGGGGATTGTTTAAGGAACTTACTGCTAGTGAAGACTTGACAGCCTGCAGCTGGAAGAAGACCCTTCCACCTTCCTCTGGACAAACCGACTTCAGCTCGTCACGCGTCATTCCCAGGAGCAGAGACCCACTGAGCACGCCCAGACAGCGTACCGTTCTGCAGACACACACACACAGCTTTCTGGTGAGAAACTGTACCACCTTCTTCTTGTTCATTGTGGCATACTGAAACTCAAGTAGACGGTTGGATTTTGTCATTAGCTCTGCCTGAAAACATATGATGCACTTCTTCCACATCTTGCATGGAATATTTTATTTCACTGAATAAAACATCTTCAGTGAGCATTCATGTAGCTAAATTTATCTTAGCTGAGAAAATACATTTGAATGAGATTAATGGTGATGGCATTTACTGAAAGGAATTATTAGTTTCAATACATTTAATTCTTGCACGCAACTGTTAGACATAAGGTATGCATGGTTTGTTAACAATTACACCCGAAACAGTCACAACATGGAAGCAAGAATCCATGAACTGAGCAGGGGTATATATCTACTAGGCCTTACATTTTGGAAAAGCCCTTGTATTCCAACCAGGCTTTCACTTCCTGAGGCTTGGAAGTCTTGTTCAGACTTGGAGGATTCAGCACATCCTAGGAAAGGAAGAAGGGGGTGCGGGGGGGTGTTGAAGACATTAAACTTTCAGTTAGAATGCTTCCCTGCCTTTGCGATAAGCTTCACTGTCGCCATGCCCTCCACCCACCCTTATCTCTGAAGTCTGCCCCACTCTAGAGTCCAGATGAAGAGTGCTGATGCCCAACAGTGGGAATGACATGCAAATCCACAAAGCTATACACAGCTGGAGAGATGGTTTGTGAGCTGCACTAATATAAACTAGTGATTCGCCTTTGAGGTACTTTCTGAACAATGGTTAAAGACCTGGAGCAGAAAGAAATGCTTATTTTAGTCAATGTGTAACTTTGAGACCAGGGATGATGAAACCAGAAAGCTCTGTCTCAGTCATTGGTTATCAATAGAGCATATGCAATTGAACTGGAAATATTGAAAATCTCACATTAAGCCTTCAGCTTGCTGTAACAAAATATATTATTTTGCATTTAGGAAGGAAGGAAAGGGAAAGTGCCCTCTACAGTACGTCATGCAGACAATATGTGAAAGTTTGCAGTCCAGTACAAGGTTGGTACATTTTTATAAAGTTTACTTTATCACAAGGTCATATTTTTATTTTTAAAATGTAATGTGCTATTCTATGGTTAAAGCAGAGTAAAGTATAGTAAAGTACATCAATCCCAATGTCATACATGGTGTACCATACCTCTGTCATACAGAGCCTTGGGAAAGTGTAGAAAAATGCAGAAACGTAACATAACCATAGCAAAGCCAGGAAAATACCATGTAACTCTGGGGAAGTATTCTGACACATCTCACCTGGTACTCGGCCTGCGGATTCTCCTCCATGGACTCCAGAACGTTGTGTGGCACAAAGCCTTCTTCCTCACGGATATTGCGCACCCTCCACCACTGCCTGGAGTCATCCAGAACCTGCACGCACCAGAGACAGACACACCCAGCCCCCCAACACAGATGTCAGACAGATCCTTCACAAAAACACACAGACCCCCAACAAAGATGTCAGACAGACAGATCCTCATACAAATACACACGCGGACATGAAAACACAAGACAAATATGTGGACCCATAGATGGATGTCAAACAGCCAGAGACACAGAGGTATACAAACACACCAGATAGACTCACACAAATGCATAGAGGCACCAAAGAAATAGGCACACATGCAAGCAATTCAGTGAATCAGTGCATGCCGACAAGATGGACTAATGAACTTGTGTACAGACTGATCAGTGCACATGTACACATACACAAGAAGGGTTAGTGCACACACATACAGCACAGATAGATCAGTGTAGGTGCACACATACACAACATGGATTATGCATGCACATGCAGACAGATTTGCGCACTAGTACACATACACAAGATGGGTTAGTGCACATATTGACAAGATTTTGGCACACCTGCACTATATCCCCTTTCATGATGCTCAGCTCCTGGTTGTTCCTGGCCATGAAATCATACATCACACGCATGTAACGAGGGTTCTCATTGGAGCTGTGACAGAGAAACAGACATTGTAAAGACATTTACATTGGAAATATTAAACTTAGCAATGCACAGACAGACTGCAGGAAACCTCTCATGACTTTAAGCAAAAGCTTTAGGATGTTGCAATGAACAGGCTCTTTAACACAGAACAGAGAAGAGACATTTTGACATCAAACAGACTGGTGCAGGATGCCAAAGTCTCACAAGTGATAACCTCTGAAAAGTAATTTGATATAAGAAACAGTAAAAATAGACATTTTGGAAAATCTTTTGAAACAGACAGATACATATGATCTGTACAAAGATCAGGAAGACACTGATGAAGTATGCAAAGTAACAAGTAATAGGTTTATTCCATGCTGAAAAAAAGAAGAAAGAGAACACAGCGTTTCAGCCGTGGAGCCTTCTTCAGGTGTGAGAGAGACACTCTTTACAGCTACCCACCTGAACTGATGAAGTATTACATCTATGAACTGTATGTGCTTATTTTGTATTTGATAGAAGACATATTTCTGATAAATCTGACAATTAAGTATTATCATATCATATTTCTCCCTCAAACACTAATACAATTAGTTTTGAAACAGTTACATCAGAGTTCCTCAATCCAGTTCCCTGAGAGACATAAACCGGTTTCCCGGTCCTGGTCTTTGACCCTTCCTCTATTTTCTGGTTTTCATTCCAACCCTGCAAACTTTGCTAGTTTAGATCATCAAGCCCTTATATCAAACTGTTTGCTTGTGATTTTTGAAACAGTTTCTGCTCTTAAATAGAAGAATAAGGTTAGAAATTAGCTCCTGGTTTCACCTCCCCTGTCTCTCAGGTTTATTGTTTCAGAGATCTTTAAACATTGTTTTATTTATAAAAAGGTCAAATTGC